TTTTTTTTTTTTTTTCTAATGGTTTGGTTTGTTGTTTGGTTTGGTTTCATTTGCTTTGGTATTTTTGGGTAGATATTTTTTTTTTTTTTTTTTTTTTTTTTGCAGCAGGGTTGTGATCCAGGTTGGTGAGGCGAGGGATTAGGGGATGGCCACAGAGGAGAGCTCTGTTGGGTTGCAGCAACCCAGGTTCTGCATGAGGGGATAAATAACTAAATGACACCCCCCACCCCCAAAAAAAAAACCCAAAACAAAACAAAAAACCCGAAAACCAAACCCAAACACCTTTGCAAATACATCTTTTCCAGTATTTAGTTTGGCAGAAAACAGTTTCATTTCTCAGAGGCGGTTTTTAACCTGTTTTAAAGTGCTTTTTCTCACCGGTTTTCCACTTTCAGGTCATTTGTGAAAGGAGAAATCACTCTATGGGGAAGAAATTAAAAAAAATAAAATAAAAGAAAACACAAATTGCCCCACAGCTGGGCACAGGGCATGGGGCAGGATGGGCCACGGTGTCTGGGGATGACCAAGATGATGCTGAACGGAGCCATCTGGGGCCAAATCCAGCACCAAGCCCAAGGTTGCCCCAGATGAGGAATTGCTTTGGGGCAAAGTGCCTGATTTTGGGAGCAGAGTGGTTGGTTTTACCCCCCTTTTTTTTTTTTTTTTTTGGCATTAGCCCCTTGGCCCCACGTGGGACTACAAGTACCGTTGCAATGCAGATGCCCGGCAGCGTCTCAGGCACGGAGCTGCTTTGCATGACATGAGTTTCCCCAGTCTCAGCTCACAGCCGAGCCAAAACCACGTTACCCTCTTGGCTGCACTCGCCAGGGCATCTGGTGACGGCACGTGAGGGGCTGCATTGGGCTTCCCCACAGGGAAAGGCTCCAGCCCCAAGATGCTGCACTGAATCCTGCTGGATCTGCACCAGAACTGCCTCTGCTGCCCCTGAGAGCAGGAGCAGGGGAGGGGACAAGGGGGAGAGGGAGGGGGAAAAGGTAGGATAAGGAGAGGGGCCACGTGGGACAGGGAGATGGAGATGAGTAGGAGAATGAGAGGAGAAATGATACCAGGAGACCAACAGGACCAGGAGAGGGGAACAAATGAGACCAGGAGTTGGGGACAAGCGTGGCCAAGAAATGGGACCAGTGGGGCTAGGAACTGAGGACAGGAAGAACCAGGAGAGGGGAAAAATGTGACCAAAACCTGGAACAAGTGGGATCAGGAGATGCAGACGAGTTGGACCAGGAGAAGGGACTAGTGAGACCAGGGGACAAGGACAAGTGGGATCAGGAGAGGGAACCAGTGAGACCAGGGGACAAGGACAAGTGGGATCAGGAGATGGAGACAAGTTGGACTGGGAGAAGGGACCAACAGGAGACAAGAGGCATGAGGGGACAAGGACCAGTCTTTGGGTTGGGGATAAGTGGAAGCAGGAGGAAGAGGAAAGTGGGACAAGCAGAGGGGACAAGAAGAACCAGGAGATAGGGACAAGTGTGACCAGGAGAGGGGACCAGGACAGGGGTCTCCACGTTCTGCAAATGTCAGGTAGTTTGTTGGGGCTTGACACGATCCCAGAGCAGCCCCAGAGCTGCTCCGTACCCTGTGCCCCCCTGCAAGGGGGGGGACACACCTCCCCAGCCCCTCCATCTCGTTTCCTCAGCGTTCCCAAGGCTCAACGTAAAGCCCCAAGGGATATTGTGAAGACTTTTGTGGCTCCTCAAAGGGCCACCGGGAGCCCCCCAGCTGCCACGGCGTTTCACAAGGCTCCTCTCTCCCCCTTCCACAGGTTTCCCAAGTTCAAGTTACCAAAATAAGTCCCCAGTCTCGACCCTGGGGGCTTTGGAGCGTGAAATGCCACCAGCCGCTGGCCCCCAGGCGCTCAGTGACGGCCGTTTCCAGTCGCAGGGTGGGCAGATGTGGCTCCAGCCCGGCCGGCTGGCAGGGGATTAAATTGGACGAGGTCTTTGCAGGCGCCAGGAGGGTTTCCTGGATGTCTGGAAGGATCCTGAGTCCCCCAGGAGCCAGATGAGAACCTGCAACAGCTGTAGAGTGGCCAAGGTGGTGACCATCAACCTTCAAGGGCTGTAGTCTACCATTGGCACCATGGGATTTGGTTCTCTCAACCCAAAAAGTCAGGCATCCCTGCAGGGGTTAACAGCAGCAGCCGCAATCAGAGCCGCTTCATTTTCCATCCCTGCAGCACCGGAGCCGTTGGGGCTTTTAACGGGAAATTAATAGCGCCATGACCTCAGCCCCCACGCACGCGGCCCCGCTCGCCGGCGTCCCGGCAGCCCCACATACCCAGGGCCCACCATATCCCAGCCAGAGCAGATTTGGGGGTCTTCTCCCTCTTTTCTCCTCCCAGGATAGGCAGGAGGATGCTGCCATAAATCACCCCTGGAGATAAACAAACAAAAATTGCAACATCTCCATCTCCACAAACTTTAGAGCCCGACATCTTCCCCTTTTTATAGCTTAAAAAAAAAAACCCACCACCTTAATTTCCCACTTTGGTCTATACTAGCCTCAAATCATCCCTCACAAGAAGAGATGCCAAAAAAAAAAAAAAAAAAAAAAAAAAAAAAAAAAAAATGAGCCCAGGCAAAGCTGAAAGGAAGAAATCTCTGCTTTGCCGCCCCTCCATCCCTAAATTTTTCCCTATTTTCAACCCACAGGGAGGCAAAACCTGCCCTGTCCTCCCCCTCTGCCCCCAGCCAAGCTGGGTTTGTACATCTTTCCCTCGATTCCTGTTTTTCTCCTTAAAAACGCACCCTCCTGAGCCGAGATCAGAGGGAATTTTATTACTGACAGATCTGGGGAATGCGAAAAAAAAAAAAACAAAAAAAAAACCGTTTTGAAACAGGGAGAATTGAAGCCCGGAGGTTGGAATTAAGTTGTCTGGAGGCGATTTGTTGTTGCTGTTCATTTTTACGCAGGATAAGGGGGGAAAAAAACCCCTCAAATACAGGTGAAACGGCCCATGTTTGCAGATTTAAGAGCTTTGCTAATACAAAAAAATCATCTTGGCTCGGGGGGACCTGCGATGCCTTTGCTGTCCGCCCACGGAAAACCGCCCAGGCTTGTTTCAGGGAGCAGATTTTTCAAAGCTTTTCCAGGATTTGTCTTTCTCCTGAGAAAACGTGGCTGGTGCAGACCCGGCTGGTTAAATACTTCCCACTCCCCAGGGAGGTTTTGCTGCTCTTACTGGGGGGAGCAGCACCGCCAAGCGGTACCACGGGGGCAAAGAGGTTTCCCCCAACCCCAGCTGCAACAAAACCGGCAGATTTTTAAAGGTTTTCACACCCACATCACAGAGCAGTGCCAATTCCCCCCAAAAACACCTCCCCAAAAAACCCACAGGAACGTTTTCCCCACCCCAACCTGCTCCTCCAGTCCATGAGAAGGACCTGGTGAGCAGATTGGCCGGAGAGCATCTCCTAGGGAAGAGAGGGACTGTCCCTTTGTCCCCAGACAGCCTCACCGTCCTCCAAATTTATTTAGGACGTTGTCTCCAGTCTCTGTTTTTCGTCCAGGGCTCAGGATTTCCCCCCAGCCCCTTCACAAGCTGCCCAGGGAGAAGAGGTTTCCCCAGTCCCAGCCCTTCTCCCCCGAGTTTCAACAAGATGTGGGGAGCATCCCTGGGAAACAAGGACTAAAATTGGGGGGGGGGGGGGGT